TGTCTGTGTGCGTGTGTGTGTGTAGTACACACCAAGGAGAAATGTTTACTTTTTGCCAGGCATGACACTTACCACTGATATAAAGTACTTTGTCATAAGCACTGGGATTTCCATTCAGCACCTAATGATTTCATTGGTCTGTTAATGTTGATCAATGTTATAACAAGTTCTTGGCTGCATTCACACGGGACTTATGGCATCTGTCACATTCAGGGTGTGTTGGCAACAACCAACTGACAAACAAGCAGTGTTGTGTAGTAACTGATTACATGTAATCAGATTACAAAAATAAATAATGATAATAATCAGACCAGATTACATTTAAATAAATGTGTAATTAGATTACAACTCCATTACTTGAATACATTTTTGATTACATCTTTAAAATATTGAGAAAAAAAAGAAATTTCATGATAATCAATGCTCCATGAACCTAAAGGAATTTTATTTGCATTGGAAATGTTCTGAGGTCTTTAAAGAAAAAAGAAAATGTCTGGACATTTCATTTCTTTAGTATACGATGCTATGTTTGATTTTTATTGTATTTAAATAATCCAATGGATTAAATTACTAAATGCAAAAATTGCCATGTAATTTGTAAAGATCTCTGACCCAACACTGCAAACAAGTCTCCTTAACCTCAATAACCTATACAACAGTGTTTCTCAACCTTAACAGTGTTTGGCTAACCATTAGCCAATAAAACAATTGTGAAATGAAAATATTTCTCTGGACCCTCTGGAGCCCTCTAAATAACCACTTGGCATCACCGGACCCCAGGTTGAGAACCAAGATATTACTTACATGCCCAGACTGTTGCTTGCTCATCACATGCTCTCATGCACTGTATTATCTCTCCATCATTCCAGTTATTCAGCAGGTTTCCTCTGTTTATTTAGAGTGACAGATGCCCCCTCTCTTGGCTCAACAAATAACCATTATAATAACACATTCTCTGAGAGACGGGGGGCTGTGAATGTGATTATTAAGAAGGAGAAGGGCAGAGGGAGTTCCGTTATGACAGACAAATGTTTCTCTCACCTCCTCCATCACACTAGTTGAAAGAGGAGACAAATACTTTGGGAACCAGAGTGCTTTAACAGGTGTGTAAGTGTGTGTGTGCACTGGTGATAATACATTACTTAGTGCAGCATTAGTGAGGAAACGGAAACAGAAACACTCATGAAAGCCTAATGATTATGTTAAATTATTATTATTGTTATTATTATTATTGTTATTATTATTATATAGCCATAAATGTTTATATGTCATAGATTGTCTTCCAAACTACACTACAAGCAAAAACATGTATTTTCATGCACTGGTCAATTTTGAGAATTTTGCATATTTTGCTTCCATGGGGAAAACATTGAAAATACACATTTACATGTTTATTTTACTACATTTTGTCTATTTGCATCTGTTGATTACACCATTAGTTTTTGTTAGTTAATTTTAGTTCTCTTAGTTAATTTGTTTACTTTGTTCACCTGTATTGAATTTTAAAATACATAGATACATTAAATAAATCAATTAAATTGAATTGAAAAATTAAAATACAGACTTTTTTCACACTGAGCCAGAAATCTGCACTTCAGTAGAACTTACACACACCAAACCCTCCAGTTTTATTCCTATCTATATTCTGCTTTTTACTGAGGGCTTTGTTTATATCACATTGTATTCCTAAAAAAGATCCCCTTGTAAAATTCTTTAAGACGTCAACCAAATGAAACAAGCAACAAGTATGCAAATTAGCACATTTTAAATAGATAATTCCTTGTTAAGAAGGAGTGAGAAGAAACCAAACAAAAGTAGTTAGTTAGCTAACGTTAGTTTTATTCTGAAATTCTCGCGGCGGAAGTGTTTCCTCCTAATGGCGGAACACAGGTTTAGCGCTACCTTGATACGAATGACTGCTGGCTGAAAAGACCTCGAGACTTTCTGGTAACAACAAAGATTCACATCGACTCGTTGTGAAAGGTATTTATTGAGTGTTTTATGGACTCGAGAGTGGTAGGCTACGAGTGTAAAATGTGCCGAAACTGCTGAAATACGTTCCTATAGGTAGCTAACGGTAGCTAGCTAGACAGTGAAAACACCCGAAATGGCTGATATGTGAGGGGCTGCGCAGGGTGGGCCCTGTGTTTCTCGGTCTACATTAGGATCAGTCAACAAATACAACGTTGAATGTGCCACAGTATGGGCTGTTGTCTTTGTTTGTGAGTGTATAGCGTGTACGTGTGCATTTAACGGGTTTGTAAATGCTGAGATGTTCCACGGGTGTTGTAGCAGCTGTCAGATTCGGCCCGTTCAGAAACACTGGATCTCAGCTGGGCACAACCCGCTGCAGGCCAGCATCACGCAGGGGCTGTCCTGCAGCCTTACAGGCAGTACTTCATGGAGTTGGACCTGAATATCAGCACTGTCTGACTTGTATCAGAATACTTGAAATGCAAGCAAGCTAAAAGGAATAAAAAAACTTGCAGGTATTTCCCACAAATGAAACACCAGCTTCCAAGCCTTAAAGCAGCAGTAGGTTAGTTTCATAGAAATAACTTTCACTCTATCCTGTAGAACATGAGACAGATAATCTGTGAAACAATCAGGTTCCTCTGACTCCTCCTAGTGCTGCTAATGGCATCTGCAAGGATTCACTGGCCGGGATGAACCTTTTCACAGATTATCTGTCTCACGTTCAGAATCTATGTACTGCTGTCAGGATATAGTGAACGCTTCAGTGAATATGAAAAGAAGTTACCCACTGCAGCTTTAATAGCTTCTTTTAATGTTGTCTATGTGAAGCAGTGCTGACATCCTCTCCATCTTTGGTTTTCGATTGAAGCTATATGTTGACCAGTGCTTAATCTAAATGCACTGCTGTGGGCATAGGATGCAAAGATGTCTCCCTTGTATCAGAAATGACATTAAATCTTTGATGAGTGTTCAGCCACTGACAGAAGAATTTACATGTAGGGCTCTTAATCTTCCTGTCTCTTTATCCAGACCTGTACTGCACACGTCTGTGAGTTGAGGGCGAGCAGATGGATGCTGTAGTTGTATTTTTATTTCCAATAAATAAATGCACTTTGAGAAGTCAGCACTGTTTTATAACAAGAAGAAATGCCGAGGCTTGGATGTTTCTGTTGAAGAATGCTTTTGTGGGAACTTTCTGTTTGGGGACTTTTCCAGGTGGCTGATGTTACTGCACATAGTGAAGTGGACTCCTCGGAGCACTGGTCACTTCACTGTCAGAGCCTAATAGATATTCTTGCATCATGTCATCAACTTTTCCTTCTTTGTTTCAGTTAATTGTGTGAGGGATTCCATGTTAACTTGCATGTTATGTTTCCTTCAGTTAAATGCTACATTTGAACATTGAGTATTCGGCCTGTTAACCTCTTTAACCAATCACGTCTCTGGTGTAGTCTTGCCCAGCATGCAAGCTTCCCTAACAGCTGATATTTGGTAGCCCCCCCCCCCCAAAAAAAAAAGGATGCAGAACAAAGTGCAAAAGAATTGTGCACATTTATTTTATACATTTCTATTTATATATATGTTTTGGTATATTTATGACATGCTTGTGCACACACTTACTACTTGGTGCTAGATAATGTTGTGACTAAAATAGAATCATTTTAAAGGCAGTTTGCTAGATCTTGTTAAAGGAAAAACAACCATCCATTCAATATAGAAAATAAGAGAGGGTGGACACTGATTCCAAACGTCAGCTGTCTGTGACCAAAACAATGTGCAAAAAGTACAAACCTATCTTCAGTGGAATTGCTTTCTCTTGCAAAACATACTAAGTATGTCAAACAGGCCAACATGTTGTTGAGGATGTTAATAGTCAGCATTGCAATAAGGGTGTAAGAAAATATTGATACACTTGAGTATCACAATATTATCTAATGATATTGTATGGATTCTCAAAAACACTATCTTTTATTTTGAATGAATAGTTTACATGTATGTAAACAGTGTTGTAATCCTGCACAAAAAGTAGTCATATGATGTTAGATGTTACGGGGACTGTGATAATGAATTGACTCAGGTTTTATGCATATGGTGGTGTGTTTTTTATACTATAACAGTTTCCTTAAGATTAGATTTAAAAACCCCATTTCACCTTGCTTACAGTGTTGCAATGTATTGCAATATATTCAGTCCTAACCCCTGTATCATGGGACGTATCATATTGCCAGATTCTTGCCAGTACTTAGCTCTAATTGTAATGCTCTGATGTTACCTGCAGGGAACATTCAGGGAACATCGGCACCATGCGTTTGTAGAATTGTTCTGTTCAGCTGTGAACATATTGGGAAAGAGGCTTACGCCATTAATTGGACACTGTGTTGTAATACTGAACATGCATTGCAGGCTAGCAGGTGATTATATTTACATTCTTTCTCTCAGGCCCAGAGTGTGTGTCTGTATAGGGTCCCTGTAGGTTAAATCTACCTTTTTCTTTGGGTTTGTTTGCTTTTCATTGAATCAGTGTTATTGCATAATGTTGCTTTGCTTTCCCGCCCTGAAAGAAAAGCACGGTGTGCACGCTTGACTACAGGAAGGAGATCTCAAGGCTGACCACGCTTCTTAATGCTTTGACAAATTTTAAAGGGAACAACCACAAACAAAATAAGGGACTGTGCCAACTTTTTATGAAAGTGCGTGGGAGAAAGGACTTCATCTGAAAGCTACTTTTGAAATGAAAGAATAAAGCTTGTTCATCTGTAATAGTATATTTCTGCTTTCCACCTCACAGCCTCGCTGTGCGCACAGACAGTAATTCGCACCTTGGTCCTACCCTTCGACTGGAGCCCAGTGCATCAGTCTCCGTCGCCGACAGCACCAGAGGGACCCATTTCATATTTGGACCTGTGGCTGGTGCTGCTGCAGTGATAGCCCTCCGATTGGCTCAGATTGAGACTCAGGCACAGATTGCTCTCCAGCAGCTTGCCACTCTAGCGACCATAACTGTTGACAACAACAACGGGTTTGCAGCAGCGTTACCTCATCACCTGGCCCTCCTGAGTCTTCTCAATAGACAACGGGTGTCAGCTGGGTTTAACGTGGACACAAACAGAAAAACTTACAGAAACATACAACCGTGTCTCTCTGCTGCCATGTACCACCACCACTCCCAGCAACAGGGGTCACAGCCCTTTTCTAATGGGCCTAGACCTCCTCATCATCAGCCACCTCCAAATCAACATCAGAACCGTCCTCCTTCTGACATGCTGTCGCAGGTGATGGGTTTCCAGTTTCCTCGTCCCACCCAGCTCCCTGATGAACTGGAGTCTGCCTTGGCCATCCGTGGTGCCAGGGACATGGACCACCGCCTCATTGACCACATGAGCCGACCAAACCAACACCAGAACCAAAGTTCTGGTTCTGGTATCAGTCAACACGGAAGCTACAGCTCTAACCCAATAACCCACACCTCTGATAATCAGCCTGGCCACCAGCAAGGAGTAGACTGGTCAAGCTACCAGCCTCCGACTAAACTGTTTGCCAGTCCTCCACCTAGTGGTAGTCACCAGTCGCAACGACATCAGGGGCCTCAACAGCAGTCCCAGAGCACCCACGCTGGAACAAGCATGCCAAGCTGGAGCGCTCCTGTAAGTGACTCACCATCATCTCAAACCCAGCACCCCCACGGTGGTGGTGGGGATGGTCAGGGTTTATACACACCTGAGAGTGCTGGAAGTATCTTGGCAAGCTTTGGACTTTCAAATGAGGACTTAGAAGTGCTGAGTCACTACCCTGATGATCAGCTAACCCCAGATACTTTACCATTCATACTCCGTGATATCCAAATCAACAAGTCAGGCAGCCAGAACACTGCGGCTTCCACTTCCTCATCATCGTTCTCACGCACCATCCATGATATGTCGCTGCCTCCTTCCCGCTCTTCGCCTTTGGCGCGTTCACACTCCCCGGAAGTGCCCAGCCTTCTTACTGTTACGCAGACAGCAGGTAAAGTCATTGACTATGGTCATGCCAGCCGGGCAAAGGATAACAGTAGCACCAGAGAGACTTTCAAAAGAGAGCAGCTCTCCAGTGAAAGGACAGTTAAAATGTACTCGTCTCCGTCGTTGTCCTCATCAGCTCCAAAAGCAGATAAAGCTGAAAGGCAGCAGGGTCGTTTGGAACACGCTGAATCGGGCAAGCACGGGGACCAAGACTATCGCAGGACAAGCCGCGACCATCGCAAGAGCAATCGGTCACCTGGGAGAGAATTTCCGCAATCATCCAAATCTCGTAATCTAGACCAAGACTACAGGCGTGACGGACCCAAACCTAGGCCCTCATCTGAAACCAGGAGTGAGGCTTCCTCGAGACGGTCTCTCTCCTCTTCGTCTGGCTCAAAACCACACAGCAGCAGCAAGAAGTTACCTACCCCCACCATGATAAGCGATTTCTCATCTGTATCTCCAAAGGTGTATCCCCATACCTGCTCCTTGTGCCACATACAGTGTGATCAGGAAAAGGTGAGTGCCAACATGCCCTCGTACCAATGTCTGAAAGGAATACCTTCACATGTTGAAATTTAGTCTGCAGCCTTTCTTTACTAGGCAGTTCCCAAAATCCATTGTTTTGGATAATGAATGCTAACTGTGCTAGCATGCTCTGGTTTTCTTTGAAAGCATCAAGACAGATAGTTGTACCCCACATTTTGTGGCTAACCATCATGGCTGAAAGCTAGAGTCGGTACTGAAATGCCTTCAGATGTAGCACTCTTAATTGCTGCTAAGACAGCAGCTTTAAAAACACATAATTTCACTTATTCAGTTAATCAAACTTTTTTTATATGCCACTTTTCTTACAGGTTACTGCAGTTCAAAGTGATGTGAAGTGACATGACACTGACAGTGATAATAAGACAGGATAAGTGTGGACTACAATAGAGTGAAGTAAAAACTAGACTGGATTAAAAAAAAAAACTAGATCAAATAGGTTAAAAAGACAACAAAAATAAAAGAATGGCAATGAAATACAATAAACAGTCCCTCCAGGATTTTTGTGGGCTCTTTTTGAGATCGTTTGTGGCCTAAAATGGCCGATTGCACAGCAGCTTTTCTAAAGAATTATGATTGATGTTGTCAAAATCGCTAAGAGTTTGGCTTAACGCTTTGCACGCCATGATTGCGGAAACTTGCAGGAAACCACACTGATTAGTCAGATTTGTGGAAAAGTTGCAGTAATTTAACAAAATTGTTTAATTGTTGTTTAATTTAACAATAAAAGTTTGTGCAGAATTCACAGGGATTGGTGGAATTTGCATTAATCCCAAAAATACAACTTCCTGGATGGATGGAAGGAAAAAGATTTAAAAACGGTAAAAATGGAGTTAGATCAAAGCCTGATTAAGAGCCCCTCCGTTGTTTGAGCTATGAAACTTGTTTTGTAGCACTGCTTTAACTTTGAGTATAAACAGTCTTAAAAGATAGAACTTTGGAAAATTAGATGGTACAGTTTCTCAATTAGAGGTTTTCTGTTCAAATCTTTTTCATATTACCACAAGAACGTTATATGCAGAGAAGACGGTACCAATAGGTTTAAGGTTAAAAATTCCAAACACATAATAAATATTAACAAACAATTCCGGTCCACCCATTTCATTAAATAAAACTGCAGATTTTTTCCTAACTGATATGCTATTGGTTTTTTCCTGTATTATGACCTGCCCCAGTACAAAGTATAATCACAAATACAAATCAAATTGGCAGTAAGATGGTGTTTCATATGGTATTTTAACGTTGTAAAATTAAAGATATATATATAGATATATATATCTATATATATATCTCTTTATTAGGGGTGTAACGATTCACCAAATCCACGGTTCGGTTCAGACCTCGATTTTTGAGCCACGGTTC